GTGAGCATTCAAAAACTGCATAAAGGATTCAAAGGAGAGACTGGGAACCTGTTTAAAAATCCCAAGTTCTGTGAAATTAGCAGCTCCCTCTGCAAACAGGTTTAAAAGAGAAAGCAGAATCATTTTCTTTTCTCTCTTTACGGGAGCAAGATAGCAGTGCTCAAAGTTTACAAATATCCCAGAACACTGGCAGTCCGCCTAGACTTTCAAGGTCAAGCTTTCAGTGAGCACCTGTGAAAAAGATAAACTTTCCCAACGAAGCCCTCCGAGAGCAGAGAGAGATTCGTTCTAAAAAGCTAAAAAACAGCCTTTGCCCGCATTCTCCACCAAGAATGTCAATGGTTTGCGGGCTGCTTCGGCCCGGTTCCGTGACGAGTGGGGCGGAGGAATCCACAGATCCGCGCCTCCGGAAAAAAGGAAACAGGAGACCCCAAAATAATTAAAAACAGCAGCACCGATCTGAGGAGAAACAAACTAATTTACTAAGTATATTATCGGAATGCAAGATAACACACTATAATACAATATAATCAGAGTTGAAGCTAATAAATCAAATATAATGAGAGAGAGAGAGAATGTCCGAAAGGTGGATAGGCCTCACCACAACGCTGAGGTGAGATGCGCAGCGCAGTTGAGCAGCAGGGAGATGGGAGCAGCGCCCACGACGAAGGGCAGGCGAGAAAGAACAATCAGGCGACCTTGCCAGGAGTTCAACCTCCTCTCCCTGACCGCAAGGTCCCCTGGGGAATGTAGTTCTTCTTCTCTTCAGGGCAGGTACCCAGGACTTGAGCATTGACAGTTAAAGTCCCAGTGCCCCACATGATGTTATGATGTGGAATACTGAAAGCCAAAAATCACAAAACCATGACATCAGCACTGTTGCAAACTCCGGCATGAGTAGTTCAAGTGACCCTCGGTGCTCTTGTTGCAATCCGCGTGAGTGGGAGCACAGTAGCAGAAGCAGTGGGTCATTTCCCCTTGGCTGAGTGATGCTCCCATCCTCTCTGGCCGCTGAGAGGCACTGTGGGCCCGCAGATGGCTCATCCCTACCTCAGCTGGCTCTCCCCATCTCCTGTCACGTAAGAGCTCTGTGCATCCCAGCCTGAGCCGCGGGCTGAGCAGGGAGCTGTGCCCAGCTCGCCTTGCTGCTGGTGGGGGTGCTGCTCCCTGGGTTTCTCGGCAGCAAGGCAGAAAAAGCAGAAAGGCTTCCCTATGTTCTCAGGAACGGCTACAAGTTCCTCTGCTGCTCAGCCCATCCAATCCTCGTGGCACACATTACCAAGGGTCACCCCAAGTGGATCAACGAGCAGGGCTGTGCCCTCCCCAGGAGCCCCAGCCTCTTCTCTGCTTTCCACAGTTACAGTCCTCTCCCATCACCGGTCCTGCACATGGGGATGGCATTCCTCTCCCTGCTGCTACACGGGGGGGGTGCATCAGCCTTAAATTTGGCCTTCCTTGGTGCAGGATGCCTTTCTAGGAGGCTGAGCATGGCACAGCTCGTTTTCCTTAGAGCCTCATGGTGAAGCTCTCGCAGTGCACAAAATCTCTTCTACTCTCCAAGTATCTTCTTTGAGCCCCCAGACTGCCTGTCTGTGTGTAGTCCAACCTGCACTCTGACCCCTCATGTCTCACAGCCTTGGGTTGCACAGTGGTGATAGCTCCCTGCAGCTCTCATGCCTTCTGACCCTCCCTGGTCAGGATGTCAGTGCTTACAAGCAGGTGGGTCTGCCTGAGAGCTGCATTTTCACACAGTCAACCCCAACAGAGAGCTGATCCAGGAGCTGATGAAGAATTTCAAATCAATGTAAGTGATGTGCTGGTTCTTCACACCACTGGGTCAGTGTGGATTTAACTATGAGAAACATCTTGCAGGGATAGAAAAAAACCAAATCCCTGTTAGGTTAGGGTGGACAAAAGCCCACTATTCAGTTTTTTGGGTTGCTTCAAGCCCCATTATGTTACCTCTTATTGCTGCAGCTTCTCCCATCACCCTATAGGTACGAGCAGCTAGCAGAGGTGATGGAGCTGATCTTCCCTCCCCTCGGGCAGGAGGGGAGTAATGCTCTGCTGTGCCCTGAGTGCAGCCACTTCGTCTACTGGAGACCTCCCCTGCCTGCCATTGACTTGAAATTCTTCTCCTGACCCCATCATCTGTGAGGACCTGCCCCAGGGCTCTCTCTTCATGAGTCCTGCCAGAACCGGATGCTGCTCATTTGGTGCTCAGCCATTCTGTACTTCTAGCACAAGTCACATCCTGCACTAAGGTAGCTCTTCTCATGGCACAAAGGCAGCAGTGAAGAGAGTTCTGACTACTGAAAACTTACCGTAGCTCTCTGAGCCAAGTGTCTTAATGTTATTCATCTTCAGAGATGGCTATTTTTTAAAGGTGATGATGGGTCACCCTTATTTATAGATGAGCCTCTGGCACACCCAGCACTGCTGTGTGGTGTAGCTGCTGGAGTGAAGCTGTCACATGGCTTAACTTGTAAAGCTGCATGGAAGTTGCTGGGCTTTGAGCATTTTTCACTCGCAGCAGTAATTAATAGACAATGCTTTAATCCAGGCTGCCTCTTGTCCACTGCAGCCTCGTGCAGTACAAGGCAGAGCACTGCTGGGCTCCTTCCTCTGCTCTACATCCAGCTTTTCCTTCTCTGATGCTGTGTGAGTGTGAACCACTTCCTGCTACTCTGATTCCCTCTCTTCCTGTCTAAATAGCTTCAGTGTTTAACTTGAGCTCCCTGTCTTAACACAAGCCGGGTGTTATGCTTCTCTCCTTTCCTAAAGCCACAGAAGTCATTTTGATACTGGAAACCTCAGCAAGAAATATTTTATTTTTCCTTTCCAGTACAAACAGCCTTTCAGCTTTTAACATCTGAACAATGTACAAGGTTTCAAAAACAATAAAACACAGCCTTTTAGCAGTACCTATTGCCAGCTGCCTCGGAAAGCTGCCCAGCACAAAACAACTGCATGGGCACCATCTCCTTCCCTCTCTGCAAGAAAAAAAAATGCCCTATTTTACACCAATTCCTTTCATTTTTAAACACTGATAGCTGAGAACTGAAATACAAACTATCTTCAAGTGACTAGTCAGGAATAGTCCAAACATAGCACCATGTTCAGGAAGCTCAGACTTCTTCCTTGTCCTGGTTCGGTCAGTGCCAGTGCTGGCTCTGTGCTGCAGGAAGCTGTTCTGCTGCTTTCTGGGGCAGAAGCCCTGGCTGCTCAGCTTGGCAGAGGTGAGCCTGGGGCTGGGTTTTCTCTTTGGTTGCTGCAGCCCTTTGGTGGCCTGGGGCAGGGTGCTCCTGCAGGGCAAGGACCTGGCCCATCACGCAGGGCTGCCTTGATCTCCCTGCCCTCTGCTGGGAGGAAGAAAGGAGTTTGTGCTATTTAAGAGCAGGTTTCTTGGGATACCCCAAAGTGGCTGGATGTTGCTCCTCAGCTGGAGCAGGTTCTCAATCATCAAAGCTGCAGCCAGGCACAGTACTCACCATTCCCATTGTGCAGAGGGTGACCTGCAGAGCACAGAGTGGGAGCTGGGCTGGAAGGGCCCATGAGCTGCAACACTGAGCTGAGACAAGAACGTTCCTCTGCTATAAAGTGCCAGAGTTGGTGGGGTGGAGGCTCTTTAATCTCCTCTTCATCCTTCCTTAAAACAATATCCCTGGTGGCTGAGCAGCAGTGTGCCCATGCAACCCCTGGGAAAGGTGGGCACCTGCTCCATGAGGCCAGGCTGGCACCACTCAGCACACACTGACCTTCTCCAGTCTTTGTGGGAAAGCACGATGACACTGGGTGCATCACTTTGGTTTTCACACCACCTCCAGCCCCACGCTGACCCAGGAGCACAGCTCAGCCTACCTCCAGGCCTGAGCTCAGGAGAGGTCTTCTCAAGGTGCCTCCTCTCTCTGGGGTCCCTGAATCCTCAGCATCCCCATGGACCCTAGGGATCCCAAAGCAGAAGCAGGCTCCTGCTCCAGGATTGGGAAAACCCATGAGCAGGTGTGCGCTCATGCTCACGTCCTGGAGCAGCTGCACCTTGCCTGCCCTGGGATGAGATGAGGAAATCACGTTCACAGTTTAAGCAATAAAACAGGAGAAAACCAGAGCTGGAGGGCAGGAGGCTGCTCCACGCCTGGCTTTGTCTCTTCAGAGATCTACGCACACGTGTCTTTGGGAAAGACACAAGTTTTTCCATAACCCTTTGCATCAGTGCCAGGTGGAACCAGACAGAAAAGTACATTAGGATTGCAAACCACAGCAGCACTAAGGGAGCACGTGGGCTCATGGAAATGCTGCTAGGACTGGCGAGAGGTGCTCTATGCAGCTTTTCAACGTACAGCAAGGGAAATGGGGGCAGCAAAAGAAAGCTTTGCAAAGGGATGAGCACTGTGACAGCGGATTGTTCAAAAATATATATACACATACCATATATATATATATGCATGTGTTTTCTTAATGCATATCCTCATATGCTCCATAAGGCATGTGCGTTTGCATGGAGAAGGCAGCAGTAGAAATGGATTTACCTTCTGCATGGAGGGCTGCCGGCTCGAGGAGGGGAGTGCAGCTCCCCAGGGCTGTGCGAGTACGTGTTGGCTTTGAAATCCACAGTTCCTGCAGTGAGTTGTTCCCTGGAAGGAGCCCTGGCTCTGTTCAGTCCCTGGATGAAGATGCAGGTGGTCTTTAGGTCAGAGAATTTCTGTTCCTCAACTGATGACTACAGGGTTTTATTCTTCGACAGGCAACCAATCCACAAAAAATATTTTTAAAAAAGTTAAAAAAATAAAAAATAATAAACAAAATAAACCTTCCCGCCTCCAGCTTCCTCCTGAATTGTCCTTCTGGGGTCATCAGCCCTCAGCCCACGCATCACCCCCGGCCACGTGCCGGTACCTGCTGCTGCAGGGGCTGCACAGCTGCTGCACAGCAAGGCAAGCACCAGAAACAACACAATTAAAAAAAATAAAAAAATAAAAAAAATTAAAAAGGAGGGGATGAAGGAGAGGGTGTAGCAGCTTTTAATTTATCTTTTCATTAAAAAAAAAAAATTAAAAAAAAAAAAAAAAGGTTGTCACATTGGAGTCTGTGTGATATAAGTTAAGCGAGGAAGCAGCGCGCTTTGGCAGGGCTAATGCTTCCCTCCCGCCCGCTCCTCCAGGTGGCCGAGCTGCTCCGCCAGCTCCAAGACCTTGGCTTGGCAGTCGAGCAGGTTGTCCTTCAGCCCCGTTATTTCCTGAGAGTGGGCAGCCAGCGTCCCATTGAGGCGGTCCATGCGGTCCCACAGGCCGCCCGCATGTTTCTCCAGCTCTCCCCTCACTCCATCCAGGCTCCCCAGCACAGCCCCCAGCCGGCCGCAGGCTCCCTCCACCCTTGCCATGCGCTCGTCGAAGTGCGCGACATCACGCTGCAGGCTGCGGGCAGCGCCGCGGCAGGAGCTGAGCTCACCAGCAATGCGCGCCTTCAGGCGCTCCAGGTCGCCCTTCAGGTTGAGCACGCGGCGGTTGCTGAAGAAAAGCTGGGAGCCGTGGTCGCTGACTTTCTCCTGGATAGAGTGCACCTCGTCCTCGATCTTCCGCTCGTGCTCGTCCAGCGAGGAGTTGACATGCGTCACGGTGTCTGAATACTGCGAGACGGAGTCCTTGAGCCCCGTCAGGGATTTGCTGACGGTGTTCAGGTTGATCTTCAACAAGGTGATCTCCCCCTGCAGAGCCCCCGCCGCCTCCTCCTCAATGCGCCGCTGGATCTCCAGGATGGTGGCGTTCAGCTTGCGCAGCAGCTCCGAGGTGCTGTCCATGCGGAGCAGCAGGTCCTGGTTCTTGTTCTGGCAGTCCTCGATCTCCGTCCGGAAGGTCTCCACGTCTTTGGAGGCAGAGCTGCAGCCCGACAAACAGGTGCTCTCCAGCGTGACCAGACGGTTCTGCAGCACCTCCAGCTTCTCATCCGTGCGTTTCCTCATGCTGGCGAGCTCCCCCTCCAGCACGGGCACCACCACCCCATCCATACCCATGGGAGCACTGACATTGTTCAGCTCCCCAACGATGCTCATGAACCTGTCCTCCAGGGTCTGCATTTTATCTTCGAAGGCCGTTCTCATGCCATCCACTTCCGCCACCACTGTGCCTCTCATGCTATCCTCCATGCTGGAGCAGCAGCTCCCCGTTTCTCTCTCGGTAGCGTTCAGCCTGGCCTCTAGGTCCTCAAAGCGCCCTTCGAAGAGGTTCCCCAGGGTGATGGTGGAGATCTCTCCATCCATCCGTGAGTGCAAGTTCTTCTGCGACTCAGAGATGCTGTGCAGGCCCTTCTCCAGGATGTTCATGCGGTCAGTGAGGTAGTCCAGGCTGCTACAGCAGCTCTCCACCACTGTTAGCCCTTGGATCTGGGTCTCCAGCTGGGAAATCTCTTTCTTGATCTCCAGCTCCTTTCCATCCAGAGTCTGCTGCAGCCGCAGGTTGGCAGCTTTCTCCTGCTCGCACTGCTGCTGCACCTCCTGGATGCGGAAGTCACAGGCAGTCTGGATCTTGCCCAGCTGCTTCTCAAAGCCGTCGAGCAGCTCTCCACGCAGGCTGCCCAGCCGTGCAGCCACGTACTCCTCCAGCAGCTCCATGGAGGTGAGGGGTGATGGCCGGGCTGCCTCCAGCAGGTGCTTGAGCTGCCCATCGTGCTCCAGCACCATGCCACGAACCTCATGGAGCAGATCCGCCTTGGATTTCAGCACGTCGCTCACCTCCGCCACTTTGGTCAGGATCTCCCCAACAGGTGGATACGAAGCGACATCAGCCTTGTCTGCCACATCCACCAGGCCATCAGGAATGATGCCAAAGCCCACGGAGGAGTCAGGTGTGCCGGGACTGTTCATCAGTGAGCCGATCATCTTGGTGGTGTCCTCCTGGATGGCCAGGCGCAGGCGGTCCCCCAGCCCACTCACCAGCACGTGCAGGCTGTCATAGGCCTGGGCCAGGCGCCGCACCTCCTCTTCCAGCCTCTCCAGGCGGTCCCCAACCAGGCCAGGCAGCTTCCTGCCTGCAGGAGACAGAGAAGACGGTCAGGGCTGTGTCCTTTTACCTCCCTCCTGAGCTTCTGATTGGTTCAAATCCTTTTCATCACCTCATAGAACAGCTTGGGCTGGAAGGGGTCATCTAGTCCCAACCCTTCTCCTTTTTGATATCAGCTCCCACTTGCCTCTTGTTTTCTTAGCCAAACATTGCCTCAGTCTCCCTCCTTTCACCTAGCTCCTCTACTCAATTTGATGGGGAAAACCTGCATGCTTCCAAGGACAGTAACTCCACCACCTCCCTGGGCCTGTGTCAACGCATCATCAATTCTTCCTAGTATCTAAGTTGAACCAGCACAATTTGAAGCCATTCCCACTCATCCTATCATAAGCTTTAAAACAATGAGGTACAGCAATTTTAAAGCCACACATTCTGAAATGTAGTAAATAAGAAAAGTGATCCTCAAAGTAATGAGAGGTCAGGCATCTGGACACAAAGGTCACCCACCTAAAGTCTGTACACTCATGCCCTGTGCTGGAACACGAAGCTGGGAGCTCTGTGACCAAGGCCAGTGGTACAGTAATGTGGGAACCCAAAGGAAGAGCAAGATCTCACCATATTGATTCTTCTTTGGTCCTGCAAACAGGTCAGGGTGGCTTTTCGGATGGGGAGGCACTCTGGGGAGTGGGAACATCTTCGGCCCAGGGGGCATTTTGGGACCGGGGTGCTGGGGCACCAGGACAGGCTGATCGGTGGGGCTGTCGTGGCAGCCTTCTCCCATGAAGCCTGGGCAGCATCTCCAGGCCAGCTCAGTCACTGTCTTGTAGCCAATCTTGTACCTGGGTCTGAAAAAGGTGCGGTACCTTTCCAGGAGAGGGGAGAGAAAGAGAAAGCATTTTAGAGAGGCAACCTCAGCTCTGAGTAAGATAGAAGAGTGGGGCCATGGGTCCTGTTGGCGTGAGGAGAGCCTGGCTGAGACCCCGAGAGAACAGTCCTCCCACTCACTGCATCAATGCTCAGTGCAGCACCAACAACACCTGCCCAAGAACACAGCTCATGAACCAGCACTGCAAAAGCATCACCCAGTCTTTCCAGGACTGGACCATGAGGTGAAATAACCAGGTGCCACCATACTATGTGGAGAGGGGTTTTTTGTTAATGAGGCATAAGTTGATTTTTATTTATTATCATTTTTTAAAACATTGGATTCTTGATGCTAGCTTGGAAAAAACAGCAGCAAGTGTATTGCTCCGGTCCCCAAACAGATGACCACTGTGATAGATGTTAAACAGTTGGGCAAATTCCAACACAGAGCAGCACAAGTAGGAATGATGGACGTGACACCAAAGCCTTTGTGAGCTCATACCACTGCCCACACGTGCATCTCACAGAGCTGGACAGTGAGGAGCAGAGCAGTGCTTTCACCCATCCATCACATGGGGCAGCCCATCTGCAACTGTCCCCACAAGATCCCCAGTGTCCCCACCCAGGCTGCAGCTTCTGCAGCAGGAGTCACATGGAGATGCCTGCTCACAGTGAGGGGAGAAGGAGAAAGAAAACCCAAATCCCCCATTATTTAAATCATTTTAACATTTCCCAGCATCAGTTTCCCAAAGACCCAGGACAGTTTCAAACATCTTTGGAAAATAAGCTCTTCTTTTCACCGTTCCTCTTCCTGTAAGCTGCCAAGCTGTGGTCCTTTCTTCCTTCTGCCCACAGGTTCCAGGGCCAGCAGTAGAGCAGGATGCTGCTGTGACAGCCACCACCAGTGGCATGAAGCAAAGACACCTTGCTTTCCTGGTGCTCCTACTCCCAGCAGGGGCAGGGAGGACACGGGAGCATGGCATTCCCACAGCAGTGCATCCCTGCCCAGAGGTGACCACAAAGCCCCACAATCTGCCCTGCTCCAGCACAGCATTTAGGAGGTAGCAGAGTTTTGCAAATATTTTCCCACAGCAGCAGCCCTCAGCCTGCTCTGCTTCCCCCTCCCCTCAAGGAAGGGCAGCCCCCAGCCCCTTTGTGTCCCCATACTCACAGCACTTTCCCCGGGCACTTGGGGCCCCAGCTGCACTTGTGGTACTCAGCTTTGACGTAGCTCTCAGCGCCGTCCTGCAGCACACAGGTGACATTGCGCTGCACCACATAGGCACAATAGCTCCTGAGGGGGGGAAGCACAGCAATGCAGTGTCACCTCCTGCCCCAGGGGCACAGCATGACAGCCTGCAGTCACCTGGAGCTGTGCTCAACAAGAGAAGCTATGGGGGCAAGGAGAACACCCCCAGAAATGGGTTTTCTGGGAATCATCAGCCCTAAAGAAGTCTCTTCAGGTTCCTCAGAGCAGCAGTGCAAGGAGCAGAGCCTCCTCCCTTCTGCCACCATGACCACAGCTGAGTGCCACTGCGTAACACCAGCTCCGGAGCAAGGAGGAGACAGCAGGAAGGAAGGACAGATTGGACAGATGGAGGTCAAGGCTGCTCTGCTGGAGGCAGGCTGCCAGCCAGAGCAGATGGATGCAGTCCATGAGGGCAGATAGTGGGGACGTGTGGTGAGGCAGGGGCTGAGGGTAGGAACACAGCAGATGGCAGAGCGGGAGGAGAAGAGGGTAGATGCAGCAATGGAGGGTCAGCAGGACAGAGCAGATGGGCCTGAGTGAGCTGCGGGATCAGGGAGGTATTTGGCAGGGCAGGAGGACGCAGTGCAACCTCTTCTTCCCAACCCCTCTCCAAGGGCTCTCCATGCATATCTCCTGGGATAACCACAGCAATTCCCATCATTCTCAGCCCCAGTGAGAGGCTGCCAGGCCCCGGGCATGCACAGGGCTCAGCACTGCAGATCGCTGCTCCAGGGTGAGTCATTTATCCATGTGCAGGGCTACTTGAGAACTAAGGCCAGCAACTTTTCTTAGCTGGATGGAAGGGAGATCATGTGTGCATGTGGAAATTTAGAATCACTCTCACCCATAAATCCAGGATTTGCTTTTAGACACCTCCAGCCTCCTCTTTAATTAAGCTAGTAGCAGATCTGCTAGCCACTGTTGATGAACTGTGCACACTTGTGGCTGCTTGGATTGGGATGGCTCTGGCTCACTCCCCTTTGCAGAAACCCCTTTCTTTCTCACCCACCTGTGGCTAGCAGCTTTATAGCTGCAGCTTGATGTTTTAAGGGTGAGCAGCTGGAAAATGTTACAGGGTTTGGAAAGCTCCCACTGGCACTGCCAGTATTGTTCATTTCAAATGTTACTTTATTCATTTCAGCTTGTTTGTAACACCAAATCCCCCCCTTTTCAGAGGGGCCAAATACAAAACTGCTCTACCAAACAAGCACAGAGAGCCCCCCACCAGGACATAACACCCTTCTTGCTGGGGAATGGAAAAGCATATTGAACACGCAAAGCCTGCATTGCTCTTTCGCCTGAGCTTTCCAGGTTACTTAACAGCACATCTCAGCCCCAGTAAGCCCCATACATAGGGATATACAGAGGCACACAGCCCCGTCCGCACCCCCTCCCCGCCCGATCCCACAGCTCTCACGTCCCTACGGGGCCCACACGTACATTCCGGTCCCTTTCGGGACACAACCGCCTCCCCCCAGCCCAGCACCGCCGATGCCCATCTCGCGATGCCCGACGGCCGCGCAGAGTCGCTTACTTGTGCTTGCCCACGGGTTTGCCGAGCTGCGGGCTGGAGCCAGTCGTGTAGAGGTTGTACCTGCCGCCGTAGGGCAGGGGGGCGGCGGGGGGGTAGAAGGTACCTTTGGCATCGGCGAGGGCCAGCAGCGTCCCCAGGGAGAAGCAGGCGAGCAGAGCTCCGCGGCGCAGCTCCCGCCGCATGGTCCCGAGCCCGGCGGAACGCAACGGGGACGAGGTGGCCGCAGGCTCCGCTGCGGAGGGCCGGAGCTCCGCCCTGCCCTGCCCTGCCCTGCCCTGCCCTGCCCTGCCCTGCCCTGC